AGGAAAGTATTGTTGGGTTGATTGCCTACCTACGTTTTCCCTCCCACCCACCCCTTTGCATACATTTCCCAGTTGGTACAGTGACACGTCAGCTACAGTGCCACGTCAGCAGTGACACGTCAGCAATACACCACCTTCACTGAGATCATTGGTAAGGCAAGGGAAATCAGCAAGACCAACAGGTCGGCTGCACACGAGAAGTCAACGTGGCAACCAACCTATGTGGAGAAGGTGAGAACTGGTCCGCGACAGCAGCAGTTCGCTGCAGTCCAATCGGACACTGTGGAAGAAGTGGTTCATCGTCGACGACGCACCAACACTAGCCATCAACCATCTTTTCACCATGTCTCAGGGCAACACAGCAACACGGGACTGGCTCACGGAATGGCAGAAGATCGCGGCACTGCCCGATATGGACTTACCGTTCACGCATCTACGCCGTGAGTTCTACAACAGGTCATGTGCTGCACTGAGCCAGAGACTTGGTGATCGCGAGCAATACACCACCTTTGCTGAGATCATTGATAAGSCAAGGGAGATCATCAAGACCAACAGGTCGGCTGCACACAAGAAGTCAACGTGGCAGCCAACCTATGTGGAGAAGGTGAGAACTGGTCTGCGACAGCAGCAGTTCGCTGCAGTCCAATCGGACACTGTGGAAGACCCAGCAGCCACCCAAGCGTCACGTGAGGGAGATCAGGTGGCTGTTGTCCAGCCGCGAAGCAACAACAAACCTCGAGTGAACGGGAAGGCGAAATCAGCATCGCCGACCGGAAATGGACAGCCAGCACCACCATGGGTCAAGTTCGGTTTGACCGAGGCCGAGTACAAGTACCGCGGCCGTTACGGCTGCTGCTACTGGTGCAAAAGCACCAAGCACAAGACCTCCCTTTGCCAGGATCAGGCCAAGGAGGATGTGCGGCCTCGTCTTAACTCGGAAAACTGAGTTGCGCAGGAGGTGAGGCGACTCCACCTCTCACTCCGCCAGATTCGGCCGCCTTGCTAGCGGCCTCCTACACATCTGGGGAGGATGCGCATGTCGCAAGTCCTCGGTACACTTACGAGGATTATGCTGTCCACTTGGTCCCACCGCTGGACCAACCGCTCCACGTGCAACACTCTACCGCATGCACGGTTTCATCACCATCGGCAACCGATTCGGCAGCTTCGCCGTCATCTACCGTCGGGGATTCAACGTCATGGTCAAGACTTGAAGTGCTCGACCCGTTGACTTTTGAGGACTTCCAATGAATGCCCCTGCCCCCGTCCGGTCGATTGTCGAAACCGCATTGCAATGTGCTCAAGGCACAATTGCAAGATTACTTGCACACTGCAGTACCGACTCCGTTGATGGACGCCGGAGTAGAGGTTGTCGACCTTCACGCCTACATTGCGAAGATCGACCGCGAGTTCAAGACGCAACAGTACGACGACATCGACGCACCATTGCTATATGTACGCATTCAGATAGGAGAGGCGACCTGCAGCGCTTTGATCGATTGCGGAGCATCTCGCAACTACATGAGTCAGGACTTCATGGTACGCGCCGGCCTTGGCCCACGAGTCCGAAGGAAGTCCCAGCCCACGCAAGTCACATTGGCGGACGGTCACACGCACAAGTCAATCGACCGGTGCATTGACGACGTCCCAATGTACTTTGCCCCTTACGCAAGTGAGGTGGTGTCCTTTGACATTCTGGACACCAAATTCGACATGATCTTGGGTATGTCATGGCTGCGAAGCGAGGATCACCCGGTGAACTTCTACCGCCGCACCGTTCACATTCGTGATCGGAACGGATTACTAGTCCCATGCACGGTAGCTCCTCCTCACCCTTCAGTCAGCTGTCACGTGGTATCTGCCGCAAGCATGCGAGCTTCCATCATCAGAGACGACATCGAGGAGATGGGGGGGTGTTTTCTCCACGCCCTCCCGCCCCAAGATGCGTCATCGACGGACTCATCTTCAGATCCACGCATCACCGAACTTCTCGACGCCTACAGCGACGTGTTCAAAGGCCCGCACGGAGTAGTACCGGATCGACCCATCCGCCACGAGATCATCCTCGAGGACGGGGCCGTACCTCCACGCGGTTGCATCTACCGAATGAGCGAGGAATAATTAAGTGTGCTTCGGGCACAACTCGACGACCTTCTGGAGAAAGGTTGGATTCGGCCTAGCTCATCGCCATACGGTGCTCCTGTTCTCTTCGTCCGGAAGAAGAACAAGGATTTGCGGTTGTGCATCGATTATCACAAGCTCAACGCGCAGACGATCAGAAACGCCGGCCCTCTCCCACGCATCGACGATCTTCTCGAGCGACTGGGCGGCGCCAAGTTCTTCTCCAAGCTGGACCTCAAGTCGGGATATCACCAACTCGAGATTCGGAAGGGGGATCGCTACAAGACCGCGTTTAAGACGCGATATGGGCATTTCGAATGGCTGGTCATGCCATTTGACCTTACGAATGCCCCGGCCACTTTCCAAGCGGCTATGACAACGGAGTTCCAACACATGCTGGATCGTTACGTACTTATCTACCTCGACGACATCCTGGTGTACAACCGGAGTTTGGAGGAGCATGTGGAACACCTGCGCACCGTTTTGGAGTGGCTACGCCAAACCAAGTACAAAGCCAACCGTGACAAGTGCAAATTTGCGCGGCAGGAGTTGGAGTACTTGGGACATTATGTGACGCCGCAAGGCATCCGTCCGCTTGCGGGCAAGATCGAGGCCCTACGAGTATGGCCCGAGCCCACCAACACCACGGACGTTCGTTCATTCATGGGATTGGCGGGCTACTATCAGCAATTCATCACCGGATACTCAAGGATTGCTGCACCTATGACGCAATTACAATCGCCAAAGGTGCCATTCGTATTCGATGACGACGCATGCTGGTCATTCCAAGCACTTAAGACGGCCATGCTCATGACACCCGTCCTTAGCATCTATGACCCCACCCTGCCGACGAGAGTGACTACGGACGCTTCCGACTATGGCATTGGGGCAGTCTTGGAACAGCACGACGGCGACGATTGACACCCTGTGGAGTATTTCAGCCACAAAATGTCTCCCATCATTGTCGACGCAGCAAACCCCGCAACCGCAATCCCTATGGCGAGTTACACCCGATGCCCATCCCACGGGAACCCGGTCTCTCCATTGCCATGGACGTCACCGGTCCGTTCCCTCGCGACCGGCTCGGACACGACGGCATCCTCACGGTTGTGGACCGATTGAGTAAGTACGCGCGTTTTCTTTCTTGGAAGTACTACTCCACGGCTCCCGAGCTGGCACGCCTCCTGCACACCGGTTGGATTTGTGGCCACGGTGTACCAGAAGACATAGTCAGCGACCGCGACACTCGCTTCATGTCGGCATTTCGGACTGCTCTCATGCAGGAGTCCGGCACGAAGATGAAGCCAAGTTCGGCTCGGCATCCACAGACAGACGGGCAGACGGAGCGGGCACATCAAACCGCTCAAATGATGCTTCGTACGCTCATCCGTCATTGGGTCGACCGCCTCCCCGACATCGAGTTCACCTACAACACTTCGGTGCACCCGGCGATCGGCTTGACTCCATTCGAGTTGCACCACGGTGGACGGAAAGTCAGTATCTTTGCCGACCTTCTCCTCCCTCGACCATCCGACATTGACGCTACTTGCTCTCCCGCTTCCGTCCGGAAGTACAGGGAATTGCTCACTCAAGCCCGCGCGAACATGCAAAAGGCTCAAGTCCGCATGCAGCAGCAAGCCAACAGGCGTCGGGTACCATGTCCCATCCGCGCCAGTGATCTGGTTTGGGTCTCCGCGGAAGAGTTTGCACAGGAACAGGATGTTTCACGCAAACTGCTTCCCAAGTGGTTTGGACCATGGTCTGTGACATCAGCCGCGGGCGATGAGCCTGATGGCCCTTCATTTGTGATCAACATTCCCGAGCATCTGACGGTCCATCCAGTCTTTCACGCATCAAAGCTGGCAACATATACACCAGCTAAGAGCGATGACTTCCCGGGCAGACGATCGCAGGACCCTCCATCTATGGATGGTCATCAGGAGGTTGACCGCGTCATCTCGGATCGCAAGTACGGCAGCAAGCCGCGACATTACAAAGTTACATTCAGAGCATGCGATCCCGACGACACTCGGTGGATTTCAGGAGCAGATTTGAAAGCATCCGCACCGCTGATCTACGCTCACTACGAGCGTCAAAGGTTAGTTAAGGGACCTCCACGACCCGCCCCTCCCACCCGGACTGTGGTCCCTCCCTCAGACAGACAGCTTCGCCCTCGCAGGTAAGCTCGGTCTTTCAAGGAGGGGGGGGTGTGGCATACTGCGTAGCCACACGGGCCCTGCAAGGCCCGTCCCGCACTTTCAACCTAAAAGCCTAAAACTTAGGGCTTATAGGCCCCCGTCGTTCAGCCTGAAAGCTGAAATACGAGGGTCTGCAGGCCCTATTTCGTTTCAGCCTATTTCTGGGCCTTTCAGGCCTAGAGGCTTTTTAGCCTGAAACGGAGGGTCATTTTCAGGCCCTCATTGTCTTCGACCTACCTAAGACTCAGACACGAAAACAGGGTTTCGGAACAGGCCAGAAATAGCCTGTTCCCCACGCCAGCTCGAGCAGGAGCTGCAGCTGCAGCCCCTTTCCCCCGTAGGCATTGGCAAGAGCAGCCTCCTGGACTGCCTCGCCTGCAGTCAGGAGGCACCCGGTAGTACATAGGAAGTTCTCATGCACTTCACAGGTAGGTAGTTGTCAGTAGGCACGAGTAGTCTTCAGGATTCAGCCGCAGCACTCAGGAGGAGCGCTGCAGTAGTCTTCAGCGCTAGGGAGTAGCCTTCAGCGTTAGTGGTAGTCTTCGGCCCTGGGCGCCCATAGCCATAGAGTAGTCTTCAACGCTGGGCGCTGGTAGGTGGTAGATCGTAGAGTTGGGAGAGGTATTGGCAGAGGCCAGTGGTACTTACCTGTGGCGCCATCGCTCCAGCTCCATCTGCGAGGTACCTGCATCAAGGCACCAACTTCACTGGTTAGTACCGGACACAGAGAGAGAGAGAGTTCTTCTTCTTCCTCTTCTAAGTCCACCATCTCTTCTCACCCTCTCGCCACCTGACTTCTCAGACTACGACAGAGAGAAACAGAGTTGTGACTTCAGACTTGACGACATTGGATCCAGACTTGACATTTGGGATTCAGACATTTCGACGAGGGACTATTTGGGCCTGTGACGAAGACTTGGTGTTGACTACATTCCCATTTTTCCCCTCCTCTTCGTCTAACCCCTTCTTCTTCGTCTGTGTATGGTACGGGCTGGCGCAGTCTTCCTGTGTGAAGCGCCAGACCCCATTCACACCATGTAACGATGATGATGATGTATGTTCAGGGCTGCATTGCAATATTGATTGTTCGGATCACTGGTATCTAAGTCTTCCGCTGTGTTATCTTGTACTTTGTATTGAGAGGCTGGTTCTTGTTCTGGTCTGCTCGTTACAGTATGCAACAGGCACGCACCCTTCTTTGGTGGCGCGCTGTGAACATTTCGGTACGCGCACCCCTCAGCACACTCCCCCACCCTCGATCCCCTTCATCCGCCGCCCCTCATCAAAACTTCGACCCAAATCCGGCGAGCAGCGCGCCATGGACTTCGCGCCGCGGCCAATGCTTCTTAAGGGATATGATATATATATATATGAGGGCAGTGGTTGGTGCCGAGCTCAGCATATCAGTTGCGGGCAGTCCTGGATGCTTAACCACAACCGGACTTAAGGTGGATTATCACTTACAGTGTAATCACTTAGGGGATTCTGCAGACTGTTGTGGGTTCAGCCTCCTGATGATTCTGTGAAACTCCAACGAAACAGTTTGTCACAGCCCCCTCGTATGTTGTCCGCTTCTCCCTCTCTGCCTACGGCTGACCGGGCAGTTCCATTTGACGATATGTATATCGTGAAATAGAACCGTCGTCGACAGAGAGGGAAAATAGGACAACAAACGAGGGGCTCTAACAATCTGTTTCGTCCGAGCTTCACCGACTCATCAGCAGGTTGAACCCTCAATAGTGTGCAGAATCCCCTAGTAACTGATTACACTGTAAGTGATAATCCACCTTAACCCCTGTTGTGGTTAAGCATCAACGGCTGCCCGGCAACTGATACCATGAGGTGGGCACCGACCACTGCCCTCAAGGTACCTGTGACCAAAATCAAAGCAGACTATCACTCACCCACACCAGATGGACAATTCTTCAGACTGTCGGTTCACACCCCATCACAAGCCAGCAAAACACCCACGAAACAAAGAAAGGTCCGTGTATAGTCAAAGTTTAAACACAAGTGGGGGTAAACCGTAGGCAAAGTGGGAGAAGAGTACAACAAACGAGGGGCCGTAACAGACTGTTTCTTTGGAGTTCCACCTACTCATGTTGAGGCTGAACCCTCTACAGTGTAGAGGCTGCCGACTCTCGTAATTGATGATACTGAAAGTGATAATCCACGTCAACCCTGTTACCCTGGTTGTGCTTGAGGATCAACCATAGCCCCACAACTGATATATATATATATCGTCACAAACAGTGTGACGATATATATATATATATCGTCAAATAGAACTGCCCGGTAAACCGTAGGCAGAGAGGGAGAAGAGGACAACAAACGAGGGGCTGTGACAAACTGTTTAATATATATATATATATATATATATATATATATATATATATATATATATATCGTCACAAATAGAATATATATATATATCGTCACAAACAGAACTGCCCGGTAAACCGTAGGCAGAGAGRGAGAAGAGGACAACAAASGAGGGGCTGTGACAAACTGTTTCGTCGGAGTTTCACCGACTCATCAGGAGGCTGAACCCTCAACARTCTGCAGAATCCCCTCACTGATTACACTGTAMATGATAATCTACCTTAACCAAAATCAAAGTAGACTATCACTCACCCACACCAGATGGGAAACTCTACAGACTGTCGGTTCACACCCCATCACAAGCCAGCAAAACATCCACGAAACAAAGAAAGGTCTGTCACAGCCAAAAAATACACTCCAGACACGCTGCTGGCACTAGAGGCACAGCATGGTCATATACATCATGGTTGTCAACTGGACCTCCGGATCAGGATCCAGACGGTCCGGTCTAGATGTCCACATCCGGTCTCCGGTTTGAGGTGTCCTGTTGGGCCCCATTTTGAGAAAATTCGAAAACAAAAATTGGGGTCCCCAGGAAATTTTCCAGTGCCTGGGACCCCCGAAAATTGTTGGCACAGTTTTGGTGGACCGTTGGGCCAACCGAACCGGCCACTAGCAACGGGATAGGATAGAAACGAGTTTGTGGGGCAGTTGAGTGACCCAAATCCTGCCGTGATGTATTACCCGAAAAAGTAAGGAGATCTTCGTTCCCCTCCCCCTCTCCTTAACACTGGGCATGCCCTTGCAAAGAAAGCTTCCCGCCAGAATCTTTTCAATCGGTTGGGGGTGTGGCCAACCCCAAAGGAGGGTGGGGTTGGCCTAGGCCCACTGGATAGAAGACTTTTAGTATTTTACTTGCTGTTGTGCAATTATCTCATTGGGTGGAGCCCTCCATATATATGGGGTGTCAGGATCAGTGCTGACAGAAGTCAAGTTTATTCCAGAAAATGTGAAGGTTACTTTGTTCACTGTTGTTGCAACCACCACCATCAGATCATTTGTGATCTGATGGCTGGGAAACACTCTGCTGTGATTTCCGGTGGGAGGTCTCTGCTTCTTTTTTTTTTTTTTGGCTTTTCTCCTATTTTCTCAGCGCATAAATTCGTAATGAACCTGTCTGGTCGCTGCCACTCAGTGTCACACAGGATCGACCACACTCCTAGTATCCGACTACTAATGGGACCTCGCCCCAGAGTTTCACTCACTCATATATTATGTTACATATTAATTTATACATTCTAGATTTACACATACATAGATGCAATTTAAATACACATATACATCTTTAAAATATCAAAGTCCAACATTATGAAGGTATGGATTCAATATCAGCCTTCGGCACTGGGTCCGTTTAAAAAAAAAAGAATTAAAAACTAAAAAAATAAATAAATAAATGAAGGTAT